CCCAGCCAGCTTTCTCACTTTTAACAGTAACAGTTCTAATTTACTAAGTTAAGGTAAGACATAGCAGAGCTAGTGTACATAAAGAGAGTCACACAACATCTAGACAGAGCAAATGTCTGGCTTGTTACAGATCCATGAGCATCCACTTTGAAGCAAGTACCCAAGAGAAGAAAAAGATATTCAGTGGGTTAGTCAGATTTCTGTTACTATAACAAAATACCTGAGCTGGTGAACTTAAAAAGACAACAGTTTTCTTTTTGGCTCACAGTTTTGGAGGTTTCAGCTGGTGCTGTTGTGGTGGAGCCTTTGGCAAACAGAGGGGATCCATGGTGGATCCACCTCATGGTAGCCAGGAAACAAGAGAAAGAGATCAGTATGCCATAGTTCCATTCAAGGGCACCCCCATGACCTAAAGCTCTCCCATGAGGCCCTCCCTCATAAAGATTTTCACCACCTCCCAATAATGGCAAGCTAAGGACTAAACTTTTAGCAGTTACCTTTGAACATATTTAATACATAAACTTTAGCACCCAGTATAATGAACATAGAGGCAATGAGGTGTAGCTGAGTTGTAGATCCCTTGCCTAGAATGTACAAGGCTTTGGACTTAATCCCCCAGCATACATGTGCGTGCACATGGGTGGGCACATAAGAAGCACCACAGAAAACTGTTCTGTGTTTAGCTTGTCATCTTGTAAAGCATCCCCTCCAAGCTGTTAACCCCCTTCAGGGGACGCTCTTGGAAGCAGTGTCATAACCCAGCTTCACAGTATTCTAATTCCTCACTCCTGCCCTGATCCTTGTTGAGTTTCCTCTGTGTTCCAGGAACTCTGCCGATTGCTTTAAAGTATTCCCTGTTTTTTTCCTCTCAGTAACCCTGGGAGGTAGGTTTTCTGTTCACTCCAGAGATAAGGAAATAGGAACTGAGTAGAGACACCACAGCCAGCTAATGGCAAAGCTAGGGCTCCAGCCAGAAAGGTCTGGCTCCACAGCGAACGCTCTTCATTGTATAAAGAAGGGCGGCAGCAGAGGGTGGGGAAGCAAGGGAAGAACTTTCTGGAAAGGTGGACGGTTCTGATTGTAAGTCATTGAGATATTTCTTAGTAACCTCAGAGAATGGTGTTCATGATGTCAGTATAGGAAAGTTTTTCTTCCTTCCCACACATAGGCCTTTAAAGGCCTCAGACTTTTGAGATTATCGTATAGAGAGAAGAAGTGTCTGGCTTCCTCAACCTTGTCCAATAATTGAGCCCCACCCTGTAGGAAGTGAGAAGAAGGCAGATTAAAGTCTGCCCTCTCTCTCTCTATTGTTGTTAATTATGTGTATGTGAGTGGACCTGCATATGGGTGGTTGCCTATGAGTTCAGGTGCCCACGGCAACCAGAAGAGGACATTAGATCCCCATGGTGCTGGAATTACAGGCAGTTGTGAACCACCTGATTTGAGTGCTAGGAATTGAATCTGGGTCCTTTGCAGGAGCAATGTGAGCTCTTAACTACTGAACCATCTCTCCAGCCCTTTAAAAACAGTTTTACTAGCATATATTAATTATATATAAGAATAGGTTTCATTATGGTGTTTCATGTGTGTGTGAAATGTACTCTGATCACACTCACTCTACTACCCTCTCTTGTCCCCTTCCCACTAACCCCCATGAGGTCCTCTTCTACAGCCTTGTTACACACACAGACATATGCATGTATGTGTGGGTATGTACGTGTGCGTGTGCGTGTGTGATGTGCATATGTGTGAAAAGAGAGTCCTATCAAGTTTAGTTAGGTTTGCTTACATAAATGTATGAGGATTTATTTACATGGGTACCTTACCAGGGGGTACATCACTGAAAAAATGTCTCTCCTCTAGCAACCCAGATCCTCAGGGAGGGATGGAGTCTCCTGGGTTCCTTCCCCCTCCATGACAGGGAAAGCTAGTTTCTCTTAAAAATAACAACAACAAAAACAAGTCAAAGTCTCTTTCTAGGAACTTCAGGAGAGTAGAATAGGCCCAACCAGATCTGGTGCCAAGCCAGGTTTTTTAGTAGAAGATTGCTGCCCAGCCCACAGGAAGGGGAGGAGCTCCAAGCAGGATGAGTAAATGTGGGCCCAGAATAGGTCTAAACACGGAATGTCCAGAAACGAACCGTGGCACTTGATATTCCTTGGTATCGTAGAGTAAAAGTAGACAGGCAAGAGATGAATCTAGAAGTGAGGGTGAGGATTAGTGGAGTCTGGCTTGACTTCATCTCTTATTATCTGACTAGGTAAATGCCTGGACCCCTTGGGCATCCTCCACAGAATCCAGATCACACATGGTAATACACACCCTGGAGGAATTTTCAAGGGGTTAATTAAGATGGTACATGTAACAAACAAGACCACCTGGCACCCAACATATCTGTGACATACATGGGTTCTTAATATTTTACTAGTGTCCTAAGAAATTGAACTGTGCCCCCTTTTTGGCAAGGGGGCCTTGGTGGGTTTTAGGCAGGGTGGTAAGCTTTTTATTTATATGTTTGTTGTGTTCCTGCTGCTGCTATTTTTATTTTCTGGTATTGAACCTAGGGTTTCAAATGTGCTAGGCAAGCAACCTACCACCAAACTGTATCCCTGGCCCCTTTTTCATTTTTTAAAACACTATGAGACCTGGTCTTTCTGAATTGCCCGGGCTGACCTTGAACTTATAACCCACCTATGTGATTCCAAGCCTGCTTCACCAGGCAGAACAGATTTACATTCAGAAAGCCCTGTCTGGTTACAGGATAGAAGATTGGGGAAGGGAAGCTAGAAGGGGGGGGTCTTGAATATGAGGCAGGAAGGTACAGAGCGGAGAGGAGGGGGCCTAATAATGAGAGACACTTGGGGTGGCGAGTATGAGAGTGTGTGGCTTGGGTATGGTGAATTGGATTTGGGCAAGGTGAGCCAGCCATGCTGGGACTTGGAGAGCCAGGGTAGGTACACAATGAAGAAGTGTGGCACCCAGAAGAGTAGTCAAGCTGGGGACAGAGATTTAAGGTCATCCTTGGATGCCTGGAAGCTGTGCCACCCAGGGTTTCCTAATCGGAAGGCTCACAGCCAGCTCTTCCATTTTTACTGTATTTCCCAATTCTCAGGAAGCCCGGCACTGGGAAGTAATAACACATACATTTGAGGCACGCATCACTCGGTCCCACGCTTCCCTGCATTGTGATAGGCAAAGGAAATATGGGCCCAGCTGCGAGCCAGCGGGAGAGAGAGAAATGCCTACTATGGAGCCTTTCCAGCTTCGCTGTTCTCAAAGCTGTGCTCCTGACACATTCAAACCGGCCCCCCCACTCCCGGAACTTCATGTTAGTCCATGCTTGTTAGTCCAGGCTTGTTCGTTCATCTTTATCCAAGCCACCCAGGGTTAGGAGAGCCCTAGGGAAGCACATATGCTTTCCTGGACCTCAGAACAGACCACTCGAGACAGAATAGGGCTCTTTTGTGGAAACTCGTCAGTACCATTTAGCAGCTATTTCTAAGCCTACTCTGGTTTGGGGTTTTGCCTTTCTCCTGCTGAGACCTGATAAGGAGCATGCATGCTGTTCACTGATAGCCAAAGCACAGGAACTGGCAACCAGTGGGAGAGGAGCCCATCCCTGCCTCACAGCAGCACTTATGGGGCTCATTTCCAGGTCAGATGGCCCTGAATATTTGTCTCTGGCTTCACTGACAAGCAAATTAAGTCAATCAGCATGAGAGAAATTTATTTTAAAGAATTAAGACAATTGCTTGCTTAATTGTGGGGCTTAGGAAATAAAAAAATGTGCAGAGAGACCCAGGGAACAGTGAATGTAGCAGCAATAATCCTAAGACAGAGTCTCTTCCTCTTTTCCCAAAGCCTTCAACTAATGGATAAGGCTCACCCATATGATGTAATTAACTCAAAGTCTACAAATATTATCTAGGAAATACTTCCACCAGAACATAGAAACTAGAAACTAGCATATGTTCAAATATCTGGGTGCCATGCCCTAGCCAAGTTGACATACAAAATGAACCATCATACCCCTGAAGGTTGACTGAGATTCCATCCCTCTGCAAGGATCCCAGACACATTGGCTCTGCTTGGCCATGGGAGTTAGAAGTAGTCTGAGAGACTGAGGTTGGGAGGTACCAGACATCACCAAGCCCATTTGGACCAAGTGGCAAAACCAGAGA